ATTGTGTGATAATGCTGGTTTTGATGCAACTAATATATTGAACAAATTACGCCAAAAACATGCTCAAGGAGGTGAAGCATTTGGTGTGGATATCAATCGTGAACATGTTGTAGACAATTTTGAAAACTGTGTTTGGGAACCAGTGATTATTAAAAAAAATGCGCTTGCAGCTGCTATTGAAGCCGCTTGCTTAGTTCTGTCGGTAGATCAAACAATTAAAAATCCCAAGGCGGGTGGTGGTGAAGAACAGCAACAGGGACGTGGACGTGGAAGACCTATGTAACCATTTTAAGTGTATTCAAGAGTTAAATTTATAATAATTATTAATACTTTTTTTGTATAAGTTTTTGTACTTTATATGCTTACACACTGAAAACTAATTTTCCTCCGTGCTTGTTTAATAACAAATAATTTTCTATTTATATTAAACTTACACAAACATTCATATATACTATTGTTAAGTACTAAAAAAATAATAATCAATTTTTAATTTTATGAAGGAGTTTGAATAATTTTATTTTGACCCTTAAAAAATTCCTTTTAACTGATATTTTTTAATTACCTGATCGTAATTAGTTTCCTGTAATAGATGTGTTAAATTTGAATTCAATGATAAAGAGTTGTAAACACAACCATTTTAAGCAGATATGTTTGCTAATGAGTCAATAAGCAGCTATTTCTAAGGGTATATTACAATTTATTTATATTACTAATAGATTATTTGATTATTTATTAGTAATTCTAGAATTTGAACTAAGTATTGCCCAAAACACTTCATATAGTGCATATTAACTTTAATTCAATTCTGTCTTCTAACGTATTAGGTACCTACAGTAGACAGTAGAACAATGTAAAAATAAGTTCTTGTGGTTTGTGGAATAAATAGCTTAGAATTATTATTATGGTTTAAAAAAATTAACAGTGGATAGAAAGTATATCATATAATGCTAGAAGTTTCAAGTCCCCCCCCCTAAATTAATATTTAACTACCTATATTACATTTTTACAAAAAAACTGCATAATATTAGGTATGTACTTCTGCTATTTTTATTTCAACGTTAGAAAAATTATGAGAGACTGTATTAATTAGTGTTAAAGCTTGAGCTATAAAAACATTTAACTTAAAACACATACAAAACGGTTTGTAGTAATATTTGTAATAATAATATATTTTAGAAGTCTCAAGTACCCACAAATAACATTTTTAAATTACAACACAAAACTAAAATTATTATTTTCGTTCAAATTTGAACTTAAAATAATTATGAACAAAACTGGTTATATATTTTTTAGATTTTTCAGTTACGGTATAAACTATTTACATGGAACCTTATTTTAAATTTTCAATGCCTAGATATAAAAATTGAACTTAAAATGCTTATAAAAAAAATTATCTTGTCTATGTATTTTAATTACTTTTGCTGATATTGTAACACTGAGAGGAACCCTGTATTAAAGCTTCTTGACCCTACGAATACAATTTTATTGACATTTATAAAAAAACAAACTAGATTTAAAATGTCTGTAAACAGCTCAAAATATTTTGAAAATTGTATCGAGTGTAAAATAAACATAGGGTGTAAATTTTGAGTATTAATGGTTATATTTTTTTTGAATTTCCACAAAATAAGAAAATCGTTAAATGATAAATCAAGTAAATTTCAAATGTAGTAAAAATTTGAATTTCAAACATGCATAAAAGTTTCTTTGGAATTTCCGATGTACATTTTTTTAAATAAAGGTAGACACACTATATCTAATGTAATTTTGTTTAGATTTACACCAAAAACCAAAATCTTTTTTGTCGAAAACTGGTTTTGCATACAAATTCCCATTTATCCATTATTTTTCGTTTGTTTTTCCTGGTACATTCGAAAACTACTTCGAATTTTAAATTTTGATCTGTCGAATGCACCAACTAGATTCATTTGCCCATCGGAAAAGATACTGAAGTTGAATATTTAAGCATTATTTCGATTAATTATAATGTAACAACATACACGCTCACACAAAAACACATTATTATTGTAAAATCATTAAATCAATACATTCATTGCTTCGTTCAGAATCTAAAATGTAGTTATCGTTGGTGAGACTAGGAATTGTGATTTGTGACGTGGGGCTTAGTCCAATAAGCCTCCTCTAGTTACGTCTATGGGTAATACCAATAATAATCAAATATATTATGTTTATAATAATTATTATGATGCTGTCTTTTCAACATAACATGGTCTTCCATCAACCTGATTAATTCAATTATTTTACCAAAACCTTTCTATGTAGTTATACTTACCTCTCTTCCATATTTTTATTCGTGTTTCTAAAATCGTACGCAATACCTACTATTTTTAATTCTCGTATTATTGTAATTTTTTTTATAATCAGCTGTTATCACTTTATCAGTATTGTAGAAATGAATTGAATAAATACATCAAAATATAAATAATTGTATAGGCTTTGACACATCACAGAAACATTTCATTTAATCTGTGGTATTATCTACAGATTGCGTGATGGGTATTGGTTTGGGAGTAGCCGAATTGGTTTCGATCCCGTTTGTGTTCAGGCCAAATAGTTACAATTTTCATTTCTAAGCATATATAAAGCATATGGACCTATGACTTATGTGTAATTGGTAAGAAATATAGAAGTACCTACACTCTATAGCTTATACAGTAAAATATACTCAGATAGTGAAAACCTGACCGATTAAGATGATGATTAAGATACGTACTTATATCGCTTTATGGGTAGGTAGCATCCTTTATTCCTATTTCTTGTATCCTATATGCGTATGACAATATTATTAGTGAGCACTACACAGTTCCGAATTGATGCATTGTGTCATTTACACTCTCACATAAATTTGTTTCCGCTTATACATCGTCTTATTTAAATTTAAATTGCTTGTTATTACGGAGCTATTGTTTAGTAAAAAGGGAACTAAGTTGTTGAGTATTGACAATTACAAGTTCGGATTCCAAAGGAGTCTTGCTGAGGTTAGTTTACAGAAGTGGACATGTACAAAACGAAAAAGCTTATGTGAAATTGAATGGAGATTGTCTATGTGAAGAAGTCTTAACACACAACCACGAAAGGGAAGGCTTGCATAATTAAATGGTAACAAATTCGGCTTAAGTTAAATACCTTTTTCAAGCTGGTACCAATTCGGCATGTAGGGACTAATTTGATACCAGCCGCTGGTTTACATAAGGCTAAAAATGGATTATTGGGTTCCTATCCACGTACACACATGTACCATTTCCTGATTTCCACTCACTCATCGAGACATTAAATAATTACTTATAATTCATCAACTATTCTCCCAAAAACATGTACTTAAATTCTCCAAAAAATATTCTGCTTTATAATAAGGAATTAAAAATGCATGTTGTCTTAAAAATAATGACGATAAAAATAGTAAAAATATAATTGGGAAGACTTTAAACTATCAACTATTTAAAAAAAATATTTTCAAACATTTTAGTAGTTTTTGAAATGATGGGTGTCGTACTTTAAGTGGATCACCGAATACTGACCGACCATAAGCACAGAATACTCATATTTTTTTTATAAAAAAGTAATTTTCCGAAAACAGTTAACCATTATTATTTATCACCTTTCATAACTAAATTATTCATATTATGTACCTATACATATGAACGAAAATTTAGTGAAACCGCAAATAATGGTATTGGTTTTCAAAATATTCAATTTGTTTTTAACCCCAGGCATTGTAAAAATCGATTTAGTTCGTGTTATTACCTATTGTGTGAGCGTAAGAGTCAACATAATATCCAGTAAACGATTAAAATTAATATAATTTAATAATCACAATTATAACTTTTTATATTTATAAGTACAAATTGCTTGAAATTAAATATCATCTACATTACACAAGAGTTAACAAATACTATGAGCAAATCTATATTATGTGTAGGTACACCATTTTGTATTGTTTCATCAATATATAATAACATTACGGATATCATTATTAATATTAGATATTTATCGGCCTTTAAAATCTGTTGGCCTATAAAATCGCACATTACGATTTGTCATAGAAATTACAAACAAATAAACATGAACTGTAAAAATAAAATAAACAAATTTTGTATAAAATAAACACAAAAATAAAAAAAACTTAACGAAACATATTACGTAATCTAATGATATAAATAATTTTAAGAGTATTAGCATATTATGACATTTTGAGTAGAAAAAAAAACATGGAGAAAAAGTCATAAGACCATTTACCAAACCATTATTAACAAATAAAGTATGTGTTTAAAATTGTTTATTAATATTTCAATTTAACATTCTTATGCTCTTATTTTTTTTATTGGTTTGAAATGAAATTGTCATAGAACTATGATAAGTTATACAAATCACGGTTGAACAGTTTTTATTTACTAAAACTCTAAAAAATTTAAGAAAGAGACGTGTTACGGCTTAGTAAAACGTTAAACCTATTACAGCAATAAAAACGGTATTAGAATAACACAAAAAAACAACGATTAAAGGTTTTTAAATAATAGAAAAGAAAATTATTTCCTTTGATTCTCAACAAATCTTAATGTTATTAAATATTTTTGATTGTCTGCTAAGAAATGGCAGATAAAGATGAACTTAGGCGTACAAACAAAACAAAAATTTAAAAATTTAAATGGATATAACCCGATTAGTTGATAACGAATACGAAATTATTGTATTTTACTTAACGATAATATAACATATATATAAACACGTCATGTATAATATATATATATATTATAATAAAATGGATTTAATTTTATTTCATAATAATTATGTAATATATTTTTAATTTTAATCATTTATTTTTGCTTAACAATTTAAAAAACAGCGCCTAGATGAGCAGGACCATAATTTTAATTTAATTTAAATTTTATGATAGTAATATGGTTTTAGGGCATACAATATTAAATCATTGAATCAAACTAAAGTCTAATTAGGGACTTAGTTGTATTATATTTCCTATGTTTTTTTTTGTAATTTTTCGTAATTATAATTTTAGATTAAAGACTGGAAAAGTAATACAACAGAGCGTTCAGCTGTATCTAAACATAAACAAATAAATAATAAAAACAACAATATTAGTAAAATAAAATTATTAAAAAATAATAAAAATTAAACATTCAGATAATAGATGAAATCTGACGAACAATTGTTAGGTATATAAATGAAGACGTGTTACTTTTCTTTTACCTAAATATTCGATTAATTTATTTACTTATCTTACTATTCGTCTATTTAAACTAATGATGATAAAAGTAATAATAATAATAAAAATAATACTGACAAGAGTAACTATATATAAAATAACGTCTTAGAACAATTTGATATAATAATGTCGTTATAGTAGAATGTCCTTACAATAAGATGTATAATATGGATTACTGTGTTTTTTTACACATATGTTCAAGCATATAAGGTTGTCAAATTCATGTTACACATAGTTTAAGTCTCTTATAGTTGTTTTATATTCAATCACGTCTTAAAACATAACAAAATGCTCAAAACCTATACATTAATATTTTATTATTTCTAAGGGCTACAGTAATATAAAATCAATTATAATTATGTTAACAAGATTCAATAACAACGTACAAATAACAAAGTAGGTATTTACATGTTTTTTATTTTATTTTTTTTTTAATATAAAACTTTTTTATAATCATTTTTACATTTAATTTTAAAATGATTTCCATTTTTATAAAATAGTTTTGTTTATATTACGTAAACAATGTATAGCTCTAAACAAACGTAGTTTATGTATTTTTAATTTACAATAATTTTTATTTTATTTTATTTATTAAAGCAATTAATTGAGCTGAATTTATTATTTAACACTTTGTTTGTTAACGATCAATCATGAAACATCATCGAAGAAAATTAATTAATTCCAAATCGCTATTCTATGATATTTCTACTAAATTGTATATGTGGTATATAATAATTTATATATAGGTATTTTATCAAATGAAATTTAAGTATTTTATAACCTATATATTTTTCAATTATTTTTTGTTTTTGTTATATGACATTTATTTGAACCGGAAGACGACTCAAGATTTTGTCATTTAATGCATTAGACATTTTTAATACCTAGTTAAATGTATAATAATAATAATAATAATAATAATAATAATAATAATAATAATAATAATAATGATATTGATAATAATTTTAATAATTATTAGTATTACTATTGTAATATTTACCTTTGGGCTTTATGATGATATAATTTTAAGATTGTCACAGCAAAACGTGCACGTTAAATAAAACAGTTAATTAATCTAATAGGTACATGTCTAACAAATACATAAACAATGTATGTGATCGATTTTGTACAAATTTTAAATACGATTATTTGCATAATCTGATCGCATAATAATCTATTTACTTAGTTACGTATTAGATATTTAGGAGTGTCTGATTAATATAAATTTATTTCTTACTTCACAGATGATTATTATAAAAAGCAAATTGTTTTAGCTAAACTAATAATATGATAATATCAAGTCTATAAATATTTTAATTTGAGCAAGAGGACACAAAAATTGGGTGTCATGACAAATAACTTTATACTTTTAGTAATTATTATAGAGATAGATAATGGAATAAATTAAGTTATTGACGTATGTATTCCAGTAAAATATTAACGATCTAATAATTTTACTAATATTAATTATAGCTACCCATACGTTCTATTAGCGCGTTATTTTAAGTTACATATTAAGAACCGAAGTTGAACCACAGTTTGACATTTGGATCGTGTTTGTCTGACGGAAAATCCATTTCCTATTACGGAAAAAAGTTGACTTTTAAATTCGTCGAAAATGCTATAATGGTATGATTTTTCATTATATCAGACTTATAATTTATTGCATTTTCTATATTACTGAAATACTTTTTTAATAAACAGTTATTAATAATTCTTATCACCGTTAAAAATAAATCAATTAGCAACAGGCATTATGTAAACAATTTGTGACACCCCTGATGTTTAAAATAAATTAAAATTTTTAATTATTAAAACCAAAATCGATAGAGTGTGTTTACTTTGTAAGTAGGAATCTAAAGACAATGACTGGCGATAATCAAGTCACTCGGAGACTACCTATTTAGTATTGTATTTTCAGAGCAGTTGCGGAACCTCTGAATTTTGAAACTGTTTTTGCTCTTTGTGGTAAAAATATTAGTGATAATAATAAGAAGTAAATATATTGCTGACTGTTCGAGACAAAATGTGTTCACATGGGTGTGATTAATGAAATTGCACTTCAAACTATTCACAGTTGAATCAATAATATTGAGAAACTCATCATCAATAATAAAAAAATATTATCAATAGGTATTAATGTATTATGCAATAGAAGTTATATAATTTGAAATAATTGCATTTATATGAAAATACAATACATTATTATAGTAAGCTATAAATATTAATTTTAGTTAAACCTATGTATATTTGGGAAATTAGTAATAGAAACGTTCATGTTGTATCTCGATGTTCAGTTATATAGGTAATATAATAAATAATAATATATCGTTATAATAATAACTATTGATTTTAAAGTTTAGGTTAGTGTCACGACATGTTGTGGATTTTGCAACGCTGTGACAATGAAAAATTTATCGATTCTATAATTTGTATAATATTATTATGAGATTTCAGATGTCAATTAGGTGTGAATACATTTTTTTATGAGAGCCCTTATTCCTTAAATAAGACGAAAAAAATGAATAAACGAATTTAATAATCTATTCTCATGGCAGTTTATCTACGTCAAATTCAACTATAACACTCTCTGTGTTATGAAAATATTCAAAAAATTAACAAATATATAATATATGTTAAAAATATGGCAATATCGTACACTGAATACGTAGGTATAGGGACCAACTTTGTAGTAAATTCAATAATTGGTTATATTATAATATAAATATGCCTATTTTAATTCCTCGTATAAAATATTATTCGCTTGGATATATTATTTCAATATTATTGATGTAAATAATATTATGTTTGACGTGTTCGGTTTAATATTTCATGGAACAAGTTTAAACGTTAATAATGTGCGTTCATTAATTCGTTTCAAGGAGCAGGGCCAGAGTAATATATATCATTATTATTATTACATATAATAAACCAAATATATATTTATAGATATATATACTTTAGTTAACCATCATTAGAGAAGAAGTAGTTTCAAGAAAAAAATTATAATAATTATAATAATTTTAGATATTAGGAGGAGTATTTAATAATAATAATAATAATAATAATAATAATAATAATTTAATAATTTTTAGTAATATTATAGTTATCTCGTATGCGTATAATATATACTTAAAACGGTACCACACCGATTTCTACATGACACTTTTCCGCATTCTATGCAGATGTGACATCATATGTGGTCATTATAATATAATATAATATGGTTGCTCCGCCGCAACCATTTTGTATAGTAATATAAAACAAAATCTATATACCTATATAATATATATATATATATATATTATATTATATTTATATATATAGAAGCCGGAACCGGACGCAATGACGTCGGTGGCGCGATCACGTGACGATGACATGCGGCGCGGACATGAGTACCGCTATGGTGGCGGCCACCGTGAAGAAGGTGAATATGTACAGGCACATGCGGTCGACCACCATGGCCGCGAACTTCCAGTCGTTGGTGGTCTCCTCGTCCTCCTCGTCCTTGCGCAGCTTGTCCGTGATCACCCGGAGCTCCTTGAGGATGAGCGACAGCTCGCGGTGCGGCCCCAGACACGAGGCCGCGGCCACCGCCGACGCCGCTCCGCCACCGCCGGTCAACATCGCGTGCTGTTGCTGCTGCTGTTCGACCATCACGTGTTCGGGCATCGGCGCCACTTGGCTCCGGGCGCCCGGGTAGCTCCGAGTTGACGAGCGCAGGTCGTCGTCCAGGTCGAGCACATTGGCCAGCAGGCTCCTGGACGACTTGGCCCGGAACTCCAGGTCGGGCAGATGGTGGATGGATGACGCCGCCGACTTGTTCTTGGAGTCGGATGACTTGCTCCCGTTGGCGGGTGGCTCGTCGCGGGCAGGTCGGCTCATGCACAACAAGCACGGCATCCACACCAGGAACATGAGTTTCACCTGTTTAGACACGCACACGAATTATTATTATTATTCAAGTTGGTATTTTTATCTTTGGCGTTGCTGTTACGAGTATCCTTGTCTAAGTATATTTTGATTATAAACAGGGTAGACAATATGGGGGGGGGGGGAGGGTGACGACGAGAAGTAAATAGAGCTCTCATACCCTTAAGTTTTTTTTTAAAAATGTTGCTAGACTCTTATTGTTAATTTTTCTGTAACTGAACTGTTTCTGTGTAAACGTCATTAAGTTATATGCTTAAAGGTACTCTAGTCACTACTAATTTATTAGTAATTAGTAGTAATAATAAGTTTTTTTTTTACCATCCCTTTGCATTACAATGATATCTCCGTAATAATAAGTCAATAAACAGTTATATTTAAATCAATTTATATTATATTTTGTTGCCTTAATATGTGGTAAAAGTCTTATATCAATATTATAGTCTCTTGAGGATACATCGTAGAAACTCACATGTGCTGTCTCTATAGCTATCTAACGTTTAATACAGTCCATTTTAAGTTTAAAATAATCCAATTTAGATTCTAAGTGGAACGACGAATGTATTGATTTTACAATAATGTAAGTGTAAATGTTTCGATATTTAATTTTGAGTGTGGTTTCTTGTAGCTAATTGGAACTATAGTTGGTACTTTTTGGAGGAAAAAATTAAAAATCTTTTTCGAAACAATCGGAAAAAACTGGAATGTTTAAGCAAAATCGTATTTAGTTGGATTTCGAAAACGAATAACAGTTCTGGTAGTTGAAATGTTCACAAAATATTTATATTAACATTTTTTATACAATATTGTACTTGGAAAATATATTAAAAAAATATTTAGACTCATTTAAACTATTTTTAAGCTATTGATATTTTCTTTTTTTTTTATTTAAATATTGGTGAAACAATTTTTTGAATGGTCGAAGACCTTTAAAGTCTTATTTAATAATTAAATACAAGCTTTCACATAAGTTTTTCATTCAAAAACTAGAAACAAAAACTAAGTTTAGGGCAAACCATATTAATTTTTAATGAGCATTTGAATTTATAATTTTGACGAAATTCGTAAAAAGGAATTCCTTTAACAAAACATAGGTACCGCGCCCAACCACGAATTGTAGTGACGAATTTCTTGCGCCAATGGGGTCTCCACGCGTCTTTAGCCCTGGAAGAGTTAGGGGAACCAGCAGCTGTTAGTAATAGTAGGTACTTTTAAGATGTTCGTCGACTGACCTCTGTCCTATTTGTATTTCGTGGTATAGCATTACCACTGCAGATTAAGTCTCTGTACTTAATCATATTATATAACAAAGTCCAGGGAATTATGTGACCGCGGTAATGCGATAACTCCTATATAATTAAATTACACGAAAATTATTTTATACTTGGTTGCTCAAACTCAGTGGCTCATGAATAGTACCGGGAGAGGATGAGATATTTCCAATCTGAATTTATTATAATAAAGACGACCCAACCCTTACGTGGAATCGATAACGTCTACTCGAATAATGTTCTATAGGCTCCAGGAATTGATCAACCGTGTGTTGTATAATGCACACTGTAGGTATATAATAATAATAATGAGTATAGTTTATTATTGAGTTACAATATGATGTAGTTTAATTTCATATACCGTGTAGTTAGTGTTAGACTTAAAATGGTCCAATTTATCGTAAGCATTCAAATAATAAAGTGGGTTAAACTACGAACAAATTAAAACAAGTTTTATTTGTTGGTATTCAAAATTTTTTTTTTATTTTCAACACATTTTTATTTAATATGAATATTAAAGACGTGGTCAAATTTGAAGTATAATATAGCTGTTTGTAAGTTATTTATAGACATTTAAAATGATCAATTTTTTTCAGTTTTTTTTTGACTTTAGGATGAAGAATTTTGTTTATTAGCTTGAAATTTATTAAAAGGTTCATTGTAAATTGTTCTTACATATGTATCGAAAATAGATAGTTTCAATATTTTATTTTAATTTCTAATTTAAAAAAAAAACCAGACAGAACCATGACAAACTATTTTTAGTTATAAATTCATCACAATTTAAATATAAACCTAAGGTTTGAAAATTGAAAACGAGGTTTCTCAAAAGTTTTTATTATAATAACCAGAAAAAAACTTTAGTATAAAGCTATATTAATTTATAACGACAGTTGTAAATTAAGATTTTGATGAAATTTGTTCAAATCGCGAATTATTTGGTAGTAGTATAAAATAGGCTGACATATCTCTAGGCGTTTGTTCATAATCGTAAACATACTCAATGGTTTATCATTGAATCATAATTGAGCACAACCATTACTAAATTAAGAGTTACACTCTTTATTGTCTTTGAAAATTGTTATCAAACCATTTACCTAATTAAATTTATAGTAATAAATTAACATAATATTATGATCTATGAAATTAAACGAAGAAGGGGGATGTGGTTGCATAGCCCCCCACTATTAGAATTTCTAAAACTCATATTTTACACCAGAACCAATTCCTAATTATGTCATTGTATAACCTGTATCATGTATAATAATTGAAACCACTGTAAAAAATAGTAGATTCTGAAAACATTTTATATATTATACAACAATTTTTGATTTTTTTTAACAAAGCATAAGAGCTTATCTATCTTGAAACGAAATACTCTAAACCAAAAAAATGTTTACTATCAATGTTTTAGAATTTTTTTCAAATATTTTTAGGAAAATTACAGGACAATGGAAACTTCCGAACTCCCCCTCCATTCATCCTATGAATGTTTAATTGGGTGCTAGCATTGAGCTATCTACAGTTAATATAGTTTATAACATATTATGATTTATACAGTTTTAAATTTCTGTATTGTGTGTACAATCTATTAGAAACGTAGCAAATATTTATGTGAGAGCACCGAACGGATTTGTTTAGTGCTTTTACACTTGTTAACATTTAACTATTTTTTTGTAAATAATAATTTTCTTAACTTAAAGAAAAAAAGCTTTTAACATTACTATAGAAAAAAGAAATGCCAGCCTCTCTACGGGCGCCCTTTATTTCGAGGTTTTAAACAAAAATGTATGAATGGACTGATTTCGATATTATGTTGTAATAAATATCTTTTTTAATTTATTTATATTAATTTAATCTAAACCGAATTACATAATATAAATTGTTGTATAACAATAACAGAATATTATTTTTGCATATTTGAAATACATGACATACTTTAAACTTTGTCTACTAAAAGATCAATGCTTTTGTTCATTAATTTATATTCATCACACGTCATATTATTATTTAAGAAACTACATTTCAAACAGCAATGATGATAATACATTATTTTTTAATATAAAATACGTTTAACAATAAATGTAGCGGCGCGTTGGATAGGCAATTTTGCTACACAATGTATCGAAACTATTATATTATCACATATATATGATTTTTAAACTAATCTCAAGTTTTAAATGTAATTGGTATGTTTTATATTAGAGATATAATTTTACTAAAAAAATATTTATCCAATACTTTTTATACCTAAGTTATGTTATGCCAATTTAAACATAATTAAAAATAAGGTTTATAAACAGTAAATGTTAATTTGATAATATTCTTAATTTAATAATTTAAAATCGAATATTTTTTATATCATAATAATAACTAGATTACTGTTACTTTGTTCTTGTGCTCTGTTATTTATTTTTTTAGTCTTAATGTGTATTTATTCTTTATTCCAATATAATGCCATAATATTATAATGTAATAATAATTTAATTACCCATTTGGACATGACGTGAGTGTCCGCATTACGGTGATGATAATTCAGAATCATGATTGTGGACACGACTGACGATGCAACCATGAACATGATACAGTTGAAATATGTACCTAAAGGCCGCAGGAACACAATAAAACATATATTAATAATCGTCGCATTGGTATTTATTTTTGTCCGTTGTTTTTAAAGCATCGTGCGTTCATGTTTTCTAAGTGCAAAAAATGTAATCTAATTTGTGACTTCGAATGTACTTGAATTTATAATACATTAGATTTTCGTAATAACTAATATTATAGTTATAATTGTTTTTATTATTTCATTAAACTTAAGTTTGAAAAAAAATATATAATTCCAAGTCACTGTAGAATTCGTAAGTGGATTCTTATAAAAAATATAATGTCATCTATTTTGAAATGTAATGACTGAGAAAGTAAAAAGTATTCTAAACAAACTACATAGATAATAAATTGTAAAATAAAATCAGACATAAACAAGACAGGTTTGTATATTTAAGACAGACAGATGTAAAGTAATGTACTACTCATGCAAGTAATACAATAATTATCGTAACATTCGTAACTATTTTTATATTTTAAATTTAATTTTTGATAAACGATCAAGTCTTGTTTAAATCATCATCATTATAAAATGAACACTTTAGACCATGGATGATTATAGAATGAAGTTTATTATTTTCGTTGACGATTTATCATCTAGCGAAGTAGGTACTTTTCTTTTGATTTTAGTTGATGAATTAAACAAAAGTATCTTTACAAATAATTCCCTTCATTGTATACATAAAATACACAAAAAAAAAATTGATAAAGACGTGTCCACATGCATCGGCGCGTTTTTAGCGCTTTTACGTATACTGTATATACATAATAATAACAACAACAATAATAATAATAATGATAATAATAATAATAATAATATTTATAGTAATAATAATAATAATAATGATATTGGACACTTATAGATTACACTTTTATGATATACTGTCACTTGTATAATATTTTCTTAAAATGTTTTCTATGACATAGACGAAACATTCATTTAAATTATATATTGAGTAGAGGTTGCTGCGTGATGTCGATGAAAAAATGATTTATCACTACAAACAAAATCCCAGTTTATAAAAAAACAGAATACAGTAACAATAAAATCGTATGAATTGAATGTTGGTAATACACAAATCAAATAATAAAACAATGCAGGTAAAAAAATATATAATCACACTGTTTTTAGGCATTTTTTTTCTTTTCCCCTGTGTTTTTGTAATTAATATAAACATTTACGTGTATTTGGGCTTAGTAATGACATATTGTTAACTTAACTGGATGAAGTATAAAGTAGTGCATTTTCACTGGTTAGAGTACGATCTATTTTGTTTGTTTGACCTGTTAATGTCTTAACTACCATTATTTTATAACTATTTGTATTAAAAAATAAATTTTACTTCCTGAGACTTTAAGTTAAGCCCAAACACTCAGAAAATAAATGATAAACCAGTATTACAATGGCCATGTACCTATAATGTCATCTTACATTTTTGCTATACTTCAATTGTTACCACCAACATAAATATTTAATAAAATTTGAGTTTCAATAATATAAATAGTGTAAAATATATTCTATTAAATGTTTTATCAAAAAAAAAAAAAACCAAAATAATAATAATATAAGACACCAAACTAATTATTTGTACGTATTTTTTAAAATATTAGTTGTTTACACAAAAACTTCGCTAGATGTTTAAAATTGATGTATACACGACAGACGTATGTATGTACATTCATTCCTTAGAAACAATTACACCAGAGTTCATCATCTATGGTCTTAAGGTAATCATAATTTAAATGACTTATACAAATCGGAGTTAAAATAACTTATTATTTAATCATTTCTGTTTTGCATTAAAAAAAAAATATTCAGTTTTAAATCAATTGAATTTTTAAATATTGTATAGTTTTAATGGCGGGTAGAATACAGTTTTTAACGCCTTTTAGTTTTATGTTTTCGTTTACTCGACGTAAAATGCATTTATAATCTATGTATATATATTTATTTATTTTTAACCGATTTGCATGAAGTCATGTGTAAAATTAGCTAAATAATTTTTAAGAAACTACCGGCTTTGTTACTTGGAGGCAGAGGGGCCCACAAATATATTATTATAGTAATATATATGATTGATTAAACATTTTGTTTTTTAAATTAATATTTAACCATTTTTTAATTTGTGAAATAAACAAATATTGTTTAATTTACAATACGAATTGGTTAATATTTATCTTTGACGCGGCAACATCGGTTTAATCAGTTTTATTGTTTTCACACAACATTGAGAGAAAATAATTAAATAAAAAATAAAAAAATAAAATCGATAAATAAATTATAAAATGACTTTATAAAATGAGGAGGAAAAGGAAGGAAATGGTGAAATAAAGTGTGATAAACATGTTTAACGTAAAAATGAAAATAAATCAAATGAAAATAAAAATAATATCAACATTTTGCAATAAATCAAAATGTATATTTTACTTTACATATAATATATAATATAATATATTATATAAAAAACGAATGAATAAATTATAGTTATACTGATTTGTAATAAAATAATAATAATAAAAAAATGTTTTTAATTATTTAATAATTATTTAACTTTTGGAAATCAATAGATCACTGGTGCAGTCTGCAATATCACGTCATCTGGTACCTTGTTTCGGTTTTAATAGTGTGGTGTTACAAACTGAACAGAAACAAAATGTAGAGAAAATGAAAAAATAAAAATAAATTAACAATCAGAAAACTACTGTAATGAGTGAAATCAAAAACAATAAATAAATGAATAAATAAAACATACTGACACGTATTCATGATCACACGAACAAAACTGTGTACATTATTTTAAATGTTTAGTAGTGTATATTAACATAATATAAGCATGTATATGTTCATACATATATATATACATTAATATACGTATTTATTTAGTAGTAGCTTTTTTTAAAAATTATTATTTAACATTCGCACGGCTTTCTTTCTTATTTAGGTTTTTTTCTGCTTAGATGGTTTATCGGACAACTGAGAGCAGAATGTCAAATACAAATACGAATGCACAATGAAACACGGTGACGATCAAGTAGTTTACGAAACATAAACAAAAAGATAGCATGCTATAGAAATGTTTGTAATGATGTTGAAGAAATATGATGTTTTTTTTGTGTTTTTGTATTTATGTACATTGTACAAGCATTTTCGGCTTTTCGCAAAGAAAATTGATAATTGTAAATAATTTATTTTGTATGTGTTTTGTGATTCCGATATTTCGATAACCATATCGCTATGAACTTCGATGGTTCCAGAAAGTCCCTCTCCCAGAAAGGTCGAAACGGTGTGACATAAGACTTATTTTAGGACGTATTTATCTTTTAAAAATATATTTTGTTATTTTTATATTTAAACGAGGATTATGAGAATCAAAACATAGTAAAATTATTTTAATCTTAAGCAAAAAATAAATTTTTTCATTTCAAATGGTATTATTCTTTTTTTTAGTTATTTTTTTTCAAGTTTTTTTTTTTACAAATGGCTTAAAAATTATAGAATTCCTCAGAAAAATAAATTTTAAGTCTCGGAAATTGTATTTATATTATATAATTTATAATTTATGCGTCTATTAAAAAAAAAGGATTTATCTAGAGTTCATAGCGTTATGGTTTTTTATTATTCTTTCAGACACAAAATACCGTATTTTTGATTATTAGAATTGTTTGTGTTGTTGCGAGTGTGTTGAATGTGTTATTTTATTTTGTATGTACGAGAAAACAGAGAAAGTAAGAGCAAGCTGAGCTGAACACAAACCACAAAATTCCGCAAAACATGTATATGTATAATGTATATATATTAAAAAATATACATATATAATTATATATATACATAATTTTAAATATATTTATATATAAATATATATATATATATGCGTGTGATTTATTTAAATGGAAAAAATCAAAATGAAAAACTCGAACTAGGTTATGGTTACACAGCAATAGATGGATGTATACATACACATATGTATATATATATATTATATAATATTATATGTATAAATATTAAATATATATAAATACAAGTATAAAAACAGTGTTTAAAAATATGTATATAAAATATGAAACATAATTTATATAATTTAATATAAATATAATATGTATGTAAACATATATATATAAGATTTAAGTGAATACATATATACGTGTATGTATATATTATGCACAGTCATATAGATATACCTATATATATATGATTAAATACACACATATATATATATATTTATATATATAATTAATATTAAATTGTTCCTAATACGACATGTATTTATTTGTTTTTATTTTTAATTTTGCCTGACCTAGTAAGGGGATAGCTTCAGATGTTTGTGGTAAGGCATCGGCTATCATGAGTGAGAATACGGACAGTGATAGGAGGATTGTCACTCCTGAAACAACATAAATGCCAAACACCACACATTCCATTAAATAATAATAATATTAATAATAACAATAATAATAGTAATAATAATAATGATAATAATAATACAAAAAAAAAAAAAATAATAATTAGAATAAAAATAAAAATAACAATAACAATAATAATAATTATTATAGTGATAATAATAATAACAAAATTAAATCAATGATAACGTTTAGGTATAAGTATAATAGGCTAACGGTGACTAAAAAAAATAGTAAAAACTAATGGACGAAAATTCGAGTACCTACTCGTGACGACACCAAATTTCAAACAGTTGTGTACGACAAATTATATTTTAGACCTAATGATTATATAATATTATAATCTTTTGTACCTATATGTGTTGCTGATGAATACAATTTCATTTTAATACATGTACGTATAATACCAATATTATATGAACAGTTTACAGCGGTAGTGTTGAAATGAAACCGAAAATAAACTCGAACAAAACAGCTAACTACACGGAAACTACAAAAATACAATTATTACGTGTGTGCTCACTGGGTTTTTGTTTCTCAGGTCACTTAACATGGAGAAAATATAATATGTTTTCGGTCGTTATTTTTTTTGCCATAGTTTTTTTTTTTTTTTATTAATAATTTCTTTACGATAAGTTTTTTCTTCTGGAGACCAGGTTCGAAGGGTGAAATAAAACAATACAGTGCTGTTTATATTATGGTATACTATTATCATATTATGATATATACGTTTAATGCGATCCCGTTAACTGTTTTTATAATATAATATGTCTTAATAGTAAGCAACAGAATATTATTATTATGCAGGGATCCTATAATATAATAATAATAATAATAAATCGACTGAAATTCCAAATAGTTTAATCGCATTACAAAAATATATAATATAATAATATAATATTAATCGTTTATAAAACCTTGCGTTTTGTAAGATGCAACGTTGTTGTTTTAAAATTTAATAGTAATATAATATAATAGTTGTTTAATAAGAAAAGGTAATATTTTTACAGTGCGCATAAAAAAATGATATTATTATTGCTTTGACTTGTATATTATTAACACTAATCAAGCGAACACTGACTCTGGTAGAAAGCTAAAGGACTCCACACTCTAAAGTTTAAGACGTTTATTATGCCCAAATACAAAGACATTTTAAACAATATTGTTTTTCATGTAACAAATAATAAAAAAATAAAATAAAATAATATAGATCAATACATGCATTATTATGGTTACACGATATTTGTTTATCGATCTTGTACAATATAATATATATATATATATAAATACACACACATACATACGAGTATATATTATATACATATATATATATATATATATATATATATATATTTATATATATTTATATATTATACACACACACACATACGAGTATATTATATACACACATATATAAATATAATAATATAATATAATATGTATACGTATAGGTATATAGTATATATTTTATTTCAATTGTAATGTTATATAATATGTCTATCGGGAGCTAGTGGTGGTATATATAACTAGTTCTTGAGAATGGAGGACTTGTGGTTCGTTGGTGATCGTGAGGCGGTGGAGGTAACGTGGAGGGATAATGGAAATCGTGGTGAACCGGCAAGTGGGAGGTATATTATAATAATACATAAGAAAATGTACATTATCACCCGGACGATATCGAAGCCTGTGCGGGTTTATTATTCTTTTGAAACCACTAAATTGCATCCCCAAAGTAGCGATTTCTGCTGTAGTCACAGCAATCGGGGCATGTTCAGTGTGTTAAGTGTGCGCGTCTGAAAGCGCATTCTAAAGCGTATAATATAATATATATATATATATATATATATTCATCTATAGTGTAGTTTCTATACATTGCAAGGAGTGTTTGTGTGTGTGTGTGTGTGTGTGTGTGTGTGTGTGTGTGTGTGAGTGTGTGAGTGTGAGGGTGTGTTAGTGTACGTGTATACTGTGTGTGTGTAATATTCTGTATCTGTGCGTGTACTGTGCGTGTTTGTGACTTGTGTCTGTCTATGGGTGTATCCCGAGCATTACTTTACTAACCAACTATAATTCTAAAATAGGCACTAAGCGCTCTAAATGACATATTAATATAGTTTCATACATGTACGATTTAGTATATGCATTCAGTAATAGTTATGTTTTATTTTTTAACACGTGCAGTAGGTATAGGTACGTTATTGATAATATTATAATATTAATAACATTATATTATGTACGTCATACAAAAAGTCATCTATTTATTTAATTTTCTCTATACCTATTATAATATATATAATATTATGTACGTATATCGTATTTTATACATATATATATTATATCTATATAATATAAATATGTATAGGAGGAAAATAAAAACATTATGATGGGGCCGAATGAAAAAGGAAAAAACAAAAACCCGTGACCGTTCATTTGAGTTGTATGTAATCATATTTTACTATGATAAATAATAAAAATAACAAAAATAATAAACAAAATAATAATAATAACAACAATAATAAAAGTTGTGTTTAAACAAAGCGTTTTAAGTCTATACAAGTTTGATACTTGACGAAATTTGTTCTTAAATAATTAGACAATTGATTTTCGAGCAAAACATTGTTATGTATTCCCACAGGATAACTTTTGTAGGTGTTAACCTACAGTACTAGAATATGTAATAATTATCATTAACAAGCATAATATTTATCTAATATCTAATAAGCATTTATCGTATTGTTTTATTTTGGCCGTATCAAAATAATTTTAAAAAAAAAGAAAAAATACTTGACACTATGTGAAGCCTCCAAGCAATTTGTGACCGAAACTAAAATGTTTTTTTTTTAAACAATAATAATATATTTCTTTTTTTTTGTATTATTGCGATGTTTATATGGTACGCGTTAAATTTGATATTTATTAATTGAAGTCCCCCAATTGTTGCACCCCTGCCATCCAAGTACAAACCCTTAAACAGGTGCAAATAATAATAATAATAATAATAATAATAATAATAATAATAATAATAATAAAAACAACAACAACAACAACACAAAGAAAAATAACAAACTTTTAATTTGATTATACCTATCAGTGGTAACTCAGAGGCAGGTGGCATTGTTTCGCACACCATATTTAGGAAGAATGTAAGCGATAGCAAAACCGTAACTCCTGTTCGCCAACATCAAAAAAAATATATTAATTATGAATTTAATAGATTATTGAAAAGAATACATATTATTTGAAAAAAAAAAAAATGTATAATATAAATTAATATAAAATGTCATTGTTTACAACACGTTTTTTATAAGCTGAAAATGTGTATTTTGTCAATGCAATTATTATGGGAACCTGGTCTCCAGTTCCTCTCGAGCTACGATATACTTAATAAGTATATTTTGATTTTTTTCTTTTAAAATAAAATAGTTCGTTTGTGTCAATAGAATCATAATAGATTTTGTGTTCAAAATCTATTAAAGTCATTAGCACAAACACAATTTTTTCAGCTATAAATTTCAATAGCAACTAATATTAACTATCGTTGGTTTTATTACTCCAAAAATTATTTTTAAAATATCCACATAATAGATGTGTAATAAAACTCACTCAAACACCCATTTTAAGAAAAAAACTATTGTTCGAGTTAGCTTCTTCAAAAAGTTAATTGTGTAAAAATCTAATAACCGGTTTATTAGTTGATGACCCGTAATTTCGACTGACAGCCTGCTCCAACCAATCACATTGAAATTTCTTTTAAATATAAATACACGTTTTCAGGTAATTATATCGGGACATTTTTGAAAACTCCATATTTTTTTAGATGATTTTCCATCTAACGGGGGATCAAAAGTATCATCAGACTATTTAATGGCATTTACGACCGATATATTTATTTATGAAGAAATATACAAAATGTAAAAAGTTGGTTGAACTTGAAATTGTTTTTTTGTATACATAAAAAAATATAGTATTAACCGTGCCCAATACTTGGGTATTAGAGTCATGTTTAGCTTATTGCTTAATAAATCGAAATGTGTTTATAATAATTTTGTATATTGATAAATATATTAGTATAGATTTATAGGTAAGTAAGTTGTATGAACTTTTGCTGATTAATTAAATTAAAAAGTGTAGAGGTATTCTTTGTAAAATAAATAATGAATTACACTTTAAAAAAAAATTCTTTTAGAATTTAAACTAAATGTTAATCATTATATTATATTTCATATTTTATGATTGCTTGCACCATATGTATTTATGAATGTAACTGTGTTACATTCTACATTATTATAATATATGGTAGTAAAATATTTAATTGGAGTTTATATTAATACCTATACTACGATAGATTTTTACGGAAATTAATTTATATGCAAATATAATATTTCCTGTCAATAAAAATCGACTACGCTGTCATTAGAAGAAAAAAAAAAAAAAAAATAATATAAAAAAAAAAAAAAAAATAATAATAATAATAAAAAAAAACATATAGAGTACTTAACATTTTTGACCTCAAATGTGTTTGTGAAAAAATACAATAATATTTTTACAATATATGTATATATATATATTTATATAAATTCATATATAATGAAAAAAATATACTCGGTGCGTTTCGGTTACCATTGTGGTAGTAGTTTTGTGTGCCCTCCTTAGCCAAGTCGTGTGACCACGAAAAAAAATGTATTAAATATGTTATTACAATATATTATGTATATCATATACGCATAGATTTTCGTGTAAAACGAGTACGTATATTGTATACAAAAATGCTCAGTTGGCCGTGCGTTACCTAAAAGAGGAACTGCGTCCGAAGTAGCCGGCATTGTCTCGGCCACCATGTTTAGAAAAACGGTCAACGACAGGAGAATCGTTACACCTTTAATTAAAACATTGATATTTACACGCCAATTATGGTAGATTGACAAAACAAAACAAAGTGTCAAACAAAATAATAATAATAATAATAATAATAATAGTAATCATAGTAATAACGATATCGTTTCCCCGGCCGCCCGTTTAATCTGAAGAAGAGAACGTCTCGTCGAACCGCGGTTACTACGGTTCGTTTCGTATACAACCGGGTATAGTAATAGATATTACAACAAGTATATATTATTGAATTGTAACATTATATACAGACATATAAATACATATACATAATATATAATATATTATGAATTATAATAATAACAACAATGATGATGGGTATTATAATATTATAGTCTGGTCGTGTCATCGACGACGTCACCAGAACATTATAATATTATTATATTATCATTGTTTGGCCACACGCGCTTTTGTGTACGTAAATGTGTGAGAGTGTGTTTGCTTGTGAGTGTTTGAGTTTGTGTTTGTGTATGTGCGCCTGTGTGTAAACGTTTGTTGGTGTACTCGTGTTCGTGTGTGTGTGTGTGTGTTTTTGAGTTCATACATTATTATTGTAAAGTGTGAGACTGTGTACGCATTTAGGTAGGTACCTAAGGTCATTTTCTCCCCACAGTCTGAGGGCAGCGTGAACCCGAGCATGGCCATAGCGGCCAGCGTAACGCTTGGCAATATCAGGTTGACGATGTAATAAACTGTTCTGCGCCGAACGAATATGGTAAAAGTGATATCCACGTACGGATTCGGACAACACGAGTAGTTTTTCAAGCTCCTCGCGGCTTTCATGTCTGTAAAAAACTGATTTAAAAAAAAAACCAAAAAAAAAAAACCAAAAACGAAACAAACAAAACAGAGGTAGCGGTATACCACGAAAATCGTTGGGCCCGACAAGCGTCCCCAAAACATGTAAAAATACACAGTAGCTGGTACACACGTACGCACACATATACACGTGAAAACCGAAAAGATTGAGAAGTGAAAGAAGAAAAAAAATAATGATGCACACGAATATTGTGTGGTGTGTATGTGTGTGCGAGTGTGAATAACAATTTATTTTTCGCTACCTCGCGAAAGTTCCGTCTCTCTCTCTCTCGCATTACCACCACTTCCTCCGATATAATACACGCACGAAAATACGACGTAATTGTATCACATACTGAGATATTTATTTATTTATTGTTTTAAGACGCAGTGGTCGGAAACGAGACGAGTGAATAGAAATTAGAGAGAGTGTGGCGTGTTTAAAGAAAAGCACCTTCCCCGGTTGAATCCTGAAACGAAACACTGCCATCTATCCCTGCTGGATCAGGCTTTTTTTTACCCCTGAGCACCCCATTAATTTAATTTAGTTTATAGTTGTATAATATAATAATAATAATTGTCACTGCCGTTAAGGTTTGCTGTCGTTATAGTATTGCACAGAATCGGACAGAGTGAAATGCTTAAAATCGACACGACTGCGATCTCAGATACATTCGACCCCTGTCATTATAGGATGATCTAGTCGTGGTTCGAATAATTGATAATTTAATCTACGACACTCGTTTCTGTGATGTAAAAATGGAATAATAATATTGAAGTTGATATAATTATATATATTTCTGGTGTGTTTGATTCACATGACTCGAAATGACAATGGCTATTTTTTTGAATTACTCACCTAAATTATAATTTATACACTGGTAAGTTTCTACCTACGTGTAGTATAATATAATAACAGACTGCAGTAAACAATAGTATTCAAAAAAATTATCGTAAACATTAATAATAAATCACGTCCAAAAAGAATTAGTTTTGGAAACACAATTTTTGGTTTTCTTTCTTTTGTTGACGTGCCCAACAATGCGAAAAAGTTATTAATTCGATTTTGGTTGATTACACGTCACTATTGTATAAAATACTACAAAAGATGCTCGTAATTATGAAAAATAAAAACCTGAAGGTCGTGGTTTTGGTTAAACTCGATTAATGGCCAATGAAAAGCTCTTGATACATATTGAAAATTGCAAAAAGTTAGTAAAGGTAAGGTATCCGACCAAAAGGACACAACTTTTTAATTTCAGTCCGACCACTCAAGCTGTTACGATAGAGTTTCCAAAAGTAAATGTTTATTTATAAGTGGTTTGCCGAGAGAGACGTGAAAATAGCTGAAAAAAATATGTACATGTTATATAATAAATTTATAAGCGCAATAATATCATATTATTATTACGTAAACATATATTTAATTAGTTTAATTTCATTATGCATTATGTATAGGTAGTTATATATGGTTCTGAACCGTAGATAATATATCGGTGACTCACAACATTACCACTAGTCACTAGGTATATAATATCATTATGGTATAATATGTAATATGTATACCCGTATTATTATGTTACACTTAAGACTAAAATTAATAAAAACCCCTAATTTATGTCACACACAGCAAATGACATTGCACGACGGGAGACACTCTGACATGTTGCAAAAAACACAAATAGTTATTTATTATCATATTACTAAACGATTATTAATTTGATTTCGTTTACCTAGAGATAGCTTTTCGCCACAGTCCGGCGGTAGAGTAAATCCTAGTACGGCCATAGACGCAATCAACACGCACGGGACTATCAGGTTGAAAAAGTAATACAAGGTGCGCCTTCTAATTAGGATGGAAAACGTTATGTCTATGTACGGTTCGGGGCAGCAACTGTAGTAGATCACATTGCGCTTTCCGGGAACGCCTGCCAAAAGGAAGAGTCATGTGTGAAGGAAAGCGATTATTAAAAAAAAAAAAGATTAAACAAACATTAATTATTGTCACAATATTATTATCTCTGTATTCATGACATTGTGTTATTAAACGCACTGGACCGTCACCGTTTCAGATATAATTTGATATTATGTATATTATACTGGATTATAGGTTGGTACCTCTATATTTTATTATTTACCTTACTGCCTACCTACTTATACCGCTGTACCTAACCCTATTGGTACAGGGGTCCATTTCAATGACCCACCCTTGCTTTCAGAGGTTAGGAACTTCTGACCAAGCCCAACGTTCATATGCTATAATTACAATAATTGGTGAAATGCTGAGAGGAGAAAATATTGTATATTCCTTCTTCGTGTAAACATTGTAAACATGATATTAAGCGATTTCCCTTTTTCTCATATTATATTGTTTAAATCGCATGGTTTTTCTCGAGTGTTCTGTTAATGCTTAACTAATGACCAATCAGTACGGTATATTTTCAACAGGGATTTCCAAGGGTCTTTGTCGACTCTGTTCATCGTGTGTTTTCGTGTTTGATATTTACGAGCATTAACAAAGACGTATTAAGGAATTATTTTAAGAAAATAGTTTCATGGAAACTCCATAGTTCAAAAATTTTATGAAAGACGTTATAAAAAAAATGATTTTTTTATTCCCACAAAAAAGCATTACGAATTGCTATGAATCACATTGGTAGTTGGTACTCTAGAATTTTTGATTTTCTCTGAATGACATTAATTCTAGATCGGTGACCATACGTTTATGTGACGAACACTGATAATTTTATTGGTGATTTTTTTAGGCATTTTATTTAATATCATTATACCCCCCTATAAACGTAGTACCTATTTGAAACATGAAAGCATAAAATATATGGGGTGCGATTGAAAAATATTACTAAATCGTCAGAAATATCTATATTTAGTACTTCGTTTATTCTCTTCTAATGGTTGGAGTGCTGCGTATCGAAGTTTTCAAACATTAACCATCATGTTTAAATACGATTTTAATATCAGCTGTCTTATATGCTGAGTATTGATCAAATATATTTCTTACGCATTGAAAATAGTAAATAATGTTTGGGGTAAATGTAAGATAGTTTTGATTGCAAATAATCAATTAAAAAAATGTCATATACCTAGATGAGCTTATAACTATTTTCAGCATCCATAAACTTTTATGTATTCATCTTGATTATTGTCAATGAAATGGAAATCTCATTAAATATTAAAAACGATTATAGTGAAGCAAATTTTGGCGAACTTAATTTTTCGAGAGAAAGTATTTGGTTAGTTACAAGCCTCAGAATAATATAAATGAAAATCGATGAAAATCGTACCATTAAATAAATACATAGGTGCAATATGTCGAGTAAAAAATTTACTAAGTAATATATGATCATAAATATTATTTTATAGCTCATGTTAATATTACACGATGCGTTATATTATATTAATAATAATATACAGCTCAGACGGTCCAGACGTTATATATTTCATTTACAACAGTAATATTTATCTTTTATGATTTAACTGTTTTCAAGTGAATCAATACTTTTGTGGAAACAAAAACACATTAAAAAACAACAATTGTGTGTCAAAACATCATTGTAATAAACATATTATAATATCACAATAGATTTAAAGGTGGAAAATATAAATAAGGTGATCCATTAACTTTACAAATGTATTACAATTTAAGTTGTTAAACCGTTCCAAAATACATCAATTCTTTACAAAAAAGTCTCCATGAAAATATAACTTTTACGTATTGAAATTTAAATTATTTCCTCTATTTTAATATCAAATGTATAGAACTTTAAAACATATAATTATATTATAATATATCTAATTAAATTTGAAATTAAATAATATGATTTTTGTTTGGAATCAAGTTCATTTTTAAATAAATAATAAAGTAAATAAAAACTGGTATATTATTAGTAAAACCTTGAACGAATTAGGCTATTATGAACTGAAGTTGTTATTGCAATAATTATTGAAAATATTAGTATAATACTAAGTTTCTATTAAATGAATCACCGTATTTTATTTTAATATATAACTACTTACATACTATAGTAGCATAAAAATTAAAATAATAAGCTTTTTAACTAATTATTAGACCAGTGATTATTAAAATTAAATTAACGTGCAAACAAACTAAGAAGCTAAATAATGTACATTAAATCAAATGTGTGTTCAGGTGTATTTATCTAATGTGATGTTTTAGTTTTATGTCAATACTATATTATTTCAAGACTTTTTTTTCAAAAATGTAAAATTAAAAAAATAAACTAATAAGGTACCTAAACTGTTTACGTGTTTAAAGTGACTGTCATACAAATATTGTATTGTTATTCATCAATTGAAGTTTGACGAGTACTAATATTGATTCTAAGTGACGAATTCAAATAAAATATCCTAATATTTAAAAAAAAAATACTACCTATGTATTATAGTTATTAATTAATGCAAATTTATTAACTGTATTGATTGCTATGATGTTACGTTAATAAATAATAATATTATGTTACATACGCTATAAAAACAATAAGCAAAAGTATCGTTCGTAGAACAGCAATAATATAATAGTTTGATTTTTGTTAATACAGAAAATAATTGATTTTATTTATTGTATTTGATATGATCGTATCTAAAAATCGTATCATAGAGCAGAGATCATAGCATATAAAATGTTGAACTTCATCGAGTTATTCAATACATCTGGTCAAAAAAAATAACTATATTATTAAAAATCAGAAAAAAACAGAAATTCTAAGGGACTTCAGGGAATACAAATTTTGAATTCGTCACTATCATCGTGTTTAATAATTATGTGTACACCTATTATCTACACCATGCTTTTTAAATCGATGTGATTTAGTGCAAGTTTAAAAAAGTATTTTATACAACTTTTTTTTAAAAATATAACTTTCAGTTTTGGATTAGATGTATTTAAAAATATTTTAATCATTATTATATTACTATATATTTTGTTCAGGATATTTGGAATCAGAGGAAAATGTATTCTATGTACTAAAAGTATATGTTCAGCAAGTATTCTCATCAAATAATGATTGGTCGATAAATATTTTAGTATAATATTTAATAAATATCATAATATTTTAGGTTTTTACTATTTTTACTTTATTACTACCTTATCTTCACTTGGAGAGTATAAATAAATTGGAACGATGCTTCTTTGTAGGCTGAAATTCAAATGAATATGTTTTTATCCGTGTTATTCATTATTCCAATTTATAATAGGTTCTACAGAGTGATAGTAGACAGTTTATGGACAATAATTGGAAAACACAAATATGATTTGTTTGAAAATCGAAAACGATATTTATTTTTTTTTGGATAAATTCGTGTATTAAAAATAAAATAAACGATAGTGTAAAGTATCTGGAATAATATTTGTACACATACCAAGTAGATTATAAACAAGTAAGCTGTGTAAGTACCTATCCTGTATCTATGCATAAAGTATTTCAATAGAATTTCTGTAACAAATAAGGAAGTACAATAGGTAGGTCCTGTTCGCAGCTCAATCCCATTCGTTCTTTACCAATCACCATAATGCCTAAGACTATACTGTGTATAATATGTGCTTTATTGATTTGTGTCGTGTGGTCTATTTTATTAGATAGAGTTCTACCACTATGTATTCAATGGCAAATTGTTCATGTCAAAGTATCGGATCTAAACATTTATAATAAAATATGTAAAGGTACGTAGGTAACTGAAACTCGAGAAACATTTGAATGTTGAGGATTGTATTCACGTATAAGAGTTTGTACACTATTATAATTAAATTGTGCTGTATGACAAAGTTATGACTTTTGTATTACTTCATTATACCCATATTGATCACTATCAAACGTTACTTGATTCACTGTAGGTAAGTATCTATTTAAGTATAACAATACACGATATTATAAGCATCGTGTTGTACACTAGGTAACAAAACTATTACATGGATTCTAAAGGATATATTATGATTTCTCTTAAATTTGTTAACAATATCAACAAAGATAAAAATATTTTGAAAGTCAAATTAATGTGTTTTATTCAAGAGTTTCAGCATACCTAAATAATAACTATTCATTCGTATAAGTATGAATGAATACGAATTTTCTAAAATTGTTGTATTTTAATGACTACATTGATAATTTATATTATGTAATATGTATCTAAGTGATGCTAAAATAAACGAATTGTATAGGCTAATTATTAATTTTCTACCTAGAATGAAATGTACCTACATAATATTAGAAAACTATGAAAACAAAACTAATTAATTATGGTTTGTATGTATGTACAAGTATAATAATATTATAATATTATGGTTTTTTGAGAGAAATTTAAATTGCTTAAAGATAATTAGTTATTACCAAAAATTAAATTATCTATTTACTAAATAATTATCAGTATATATCTCTCAAAAAACCACAGGTAGACCTAAAATTGATGTATTAGTAAATAATCAGAAATAGTGTAAATATAAACAATTCAAAGCTGTTAAAAATGAAAAAAAATCATTTTCGAAAACGAACTGTTTTTTGTTTGCTCACCAAGCAGGTCCCATTCACCGTTAGTAATAAAACCACTGATGTCTCCTCCGTGATCATCTTGGAGTTGTAGATCCAACTGAAATGTACAATAAAAACGATTGTATTAGAAAAATACTTGGGTGCACGAAACTGCAGGATGTAAAAATTATTAGTTTAGGTTAAAAAAATTCTTTGGATCATTAAAAAAATGTAACCATTATCAAAAAGTCGATCAAGTAAATTCAACCAAATTAATAAAAATACACCAATAATGTTCTGTGTCATGTATGAGAATAAAAATAAAAAACTTCTTTTTGCTGTCAGAGTATATAGTGACGTGAGAAGTTATTGTTTCATGTTTTCCACATTATGTTTTCATAACAATATAACATAATATTTTGTAGTCATTAGTTTATGTATTACAATATCACATTCAATAAAAACACATGATGCATGCCTTGAGCCGTAAAGCAATTATAACGTGAGTTTAATTACGTTAATATTGTATTATAGTTGCGAGTTGCGACCACACGACAATAAGCCGGTTAATTCGACGGAAGGTTCGATGAAAATAATAATAGTATTTTGATGGGCAGAATAAACAAAACGTCGCGAAATTGTGATATACCCAATAATATTATATTAGGTATTAGAGTAAAGTTTCACGCTTTCGTGTCGTTTCACCCGTGTAGGTAGTTGTCCTGTCTAGTTTACCTGAAATCCGTCGTATGTCCAGCTGCCAAATTTCATATCACATTTTTGATCGTCGAAGGGGAACCACGTGATGTCGATCTTGCACGTGCTCTTGAATATCCCCGGTGGAATGAACACACAGCTACCATTGCTGTTGACCACCACGTTGGTTGCGTACGTGCCGTCGAAGCCTTCATCAGCGCTAAACACACGCAATTCAGAGAGACGGTTTACACATCGGTGTGATTATAATAATATGATGTAAAATAATAACATTATTACGTAGGTGTGGGTAGTTGTTGCAGGTTTGTCTACGATAATTTAAAGTTTTAAATTTTGAAGGGAAAAATGTGCATTTGTTTATCAGGTGGAAATAGTAGGTAGGTAGATAATAATAACTGTCACGTTTTCATATTATGTTTTGTTTTTTAAACGTACAACAATATAATAGTATGTCACAGTCTTAGATTTGAGTAGAGGTTATTGAGGTGTTTAAAAATGATTATTGATTGCGGTTTGATAAGTTTCAAAATATATTGTTTGTTCAGTTTTAGGGATTTAAGTGCTAATTATCCGATTATATTCTTAACAATATTCGACGGATTTACACTGATAAAATGATTAAGTATTTATTACACACACATACACACACGAAGTAAATTGAGTGAATTCATTTCGATAATCTATACCTATATTAATGTCCATCCTAATACCTATAAATCGATTTAACCAAAACTTTTAAAAATTCGTAACATAGGGATGTGATAGAGGGGTGTTATCTTATCGGCTACTAGGCTTTCACGATCCACCACTGATTAAAATTAAATATTTACTCAGTCGATTAATTTTAATTGAAAATTACTGATTTTATTTCACTATAGTCAAGTTTTAGTCCAAGATATGCAATCTTTAATTATAATGAATACATCATAGATGTCATCGGATATTAATTATTTTGTATCTTGTTATATGATTCTGAAATACATAATAAGAAAAGCGGACAAGTGAGTTTTTCAATAAATTTTGTGGTACGCCACTATCATGGCATTTTTGACTATATTATTTCATACGCAAACCTTTCATTTGAATTCTCTTAGATCGTATAGTTATTCTGATCTCACTCCTATCAGAAAACTTCCCTATGCTTTTGGAATGATTTATTTTAACTCATATTATTTCAGTGGCTTGTTGTTCCATTCTGTTAGGTCAAACTTATACATGTTTTATACATCTGCATCCACTATAATATCCTTAACTATCTACACTCGGTTGGTTTTCCAACTTTATCACATTAATTTTGTCTCTTATCTTTTATGTCCTTTACGTTTTGACATAATAGTAAATAGACAATTTTGTTTGCAACTTTTTCAATGCCGTATTCTTATTATAAATACGGGTTATTCTCTCAAGAATCACCCTATAAATCGACAATCAAGATCCTGTTAAAATGTCTTGAGTGTGTTTTATGACTCTATTACACGGCCATTAGATTAAAAAAAGTAACAACCCTTTCTCGACTGCTTCTTTTTTTTACTATTCACAGACAATTCTTTATTTTATTATATAATTGGTTTGAATCTAAAATGATCGAAATAAGCTGAAAACCAAATACTCCAAATACTTTAACCTCTACATTGGGCGTACACCTCTGTTTAGTGCAAAAGATCGTCGACATATTCGTGTTCAGCACTCGCAATCTTTAAATATTATTAAACTATTTTAGATACAATTCAAATTTCGTATGCATCATTATCCAATGCATTCCAACCTCCCCCTCAGGTCACCCAGAAACCTTCAAGGTCTACTTGTCTGACTCGACTCATTCCACACAGTGTAATCCTTTACATCGCTACCTGAGTTTATTCAACTATTAATGACAAACGTGTGAAGTTTATTAACTAGGTTATAAAATTTTAAAATATACTATTAGTGTGCTTATGCTACTGTAATAACGTAAAAATGTATGTTTATGATAGAGTTACATGTCATCTGTGTAGGTGTAGACATTAATGTGATATGTGTACTAACCTATTATACATGAGCATATCTGGTTTCCATATCTTATGCGGTGGTATTCTCAAATCCTTCACACCACCATAGTCGCTGTGGTTCCACCTGAGGTTGACGTCATTCCACTCCTAAATTTAAATTAAAATCGTTTTAATGATACATTTAATAATTAAATAAAGTATGTATAATATATTGTACACTTCTACTTCTTAAAACACCGAACCTTTGTCAATAATATTATATAAGAATTATTATCGTATAGTTCATAATAAGGCCAATAATAATCGATAATATTATTGTTAGTTTTATATTTTAATACATAGAAGTTAGTTTATATTTAGTTTATACATCGTTTAACTTTTTAAACACAAATGTTATGAAAAATTAAAAGATCCATGAAGTATTGTCTTTGGCTGAGAAGAAGTGATTATGAGGAGTTCTTGGAATTAATTATAATATTTCTTGGAGGAAAGCATTCAAACTGTAGGTATCTACTTTTGGCATCTTTCCCATTATCTTTTGGCTAGGTGTATAGCTATTTACTGTTTGAAAAATAAATATTTATAGGTATTAAAAATAACAGTATATATTAATAAATAGAGGGAAATCGGTTTAAAAATAAATGCTGCTTGAATATAATGTTGTGCTCAGCAATGGCTTGGATGCGTGGTTATCACTGAATATCATCTTCATAAAAAAACTTATATCATAGTATAGAAATAAAAACAATAGAAAAAAATACGGGTGATCTAATGATATTTTTCTATTGTTACTTGTTCGTAACAATTTATTTTGTAGATACCTAGTAAGATTATAATTTATTTTAAAGAAAAAAATCTGTTCAAAAAAATATTTTTAAATAGTTAACTGTAAAACGAAAATTTGTTAGATTATTTACATATTTTGTTTTTTTATCATTATTTTGGTAGGTACGTTCGTTATGATGACTGTTGTAGACAATTTATTAAAGTTAGTCAAACATTTGAAATAACTAATAAGTAATTGAAAAACAATAGGAAAAACCTCTTTGGGCTGTAATTTAAACCTTTTGTGGAACTTGAAGGGGATGAGTAATCGGGTCTACATTTTCACAAAATTATTTTTTAATATCACTTGAAAAATGAGAGGGTTTTCATTTTAAATTTCTTAAATAAGTTTTTTGGACCACCTTTATATAATATATAAACAAAATACATAGGTAAACTTTATACATTAAAAAGGGTTAAGCGATTCATGATAATACAGGTGTTGACTGTTGATGTATATTTTAAATTATGTTTTCTCGTGTGACAAATTGCATTTTAATACTTTGTAAAAAACAAACAAATATAAATTGAAAGTTTTTGTTCGTTTATTTTTAATTATGAATAAAAAACAAAAACGGTTATATAGTACGCGTCATGCACTTTGAGATAGTGTATTTTGCTTAGTGTTTTTTTATTTCATTAAATTGGTTTATATTGCCGCCACCGTGAATGTTTCTACAGAATACCTACCTACCACTTTTTTCGTTCTTTATTTGTCACTCAGTGGCACCACGTGTGTGATTAATCGTTTATGTTACTAACCGTTTTTATGACTTTAGGTGAAGAGACAAAAAAATAAAAATCATGACAAATGGTCCACCTAAACCTATATGGATACATATGATTGTACATTACATTAATCAAGAGGACAAAACATTTTGTATTTGTTTGAAAACTACTCGGAGTAAACGTGTGTAGGTACTATAAAATACAAACATGTAAAATACCTCACTCTAACTATAGATTTTCCTAAGCTCTAAGAATCGAAGTGTTTAGCTTGAAATCACCATTTTGAGGTACATTTGTGTATTATTATTGGTTTTTTCTTTTGTAGGTACTTATACCTACTTGAGAGAGGCTGTTAGGAATTTCGTTCTACATTTGGGCTAATTGCTATAATATTATACCGTATACTATATATTGAGGTATATTTGTATTCGCCGAAAGAAAGTTTAAAATAATATGTTCCTCCTCAGGATACTTATCAGTTCAAAAATAAAATAATAATCTAATAAGTAACACCAACGTTATGTGCTATTTAATTTAAAACAGAATTTGGTAAGTTTTATAAGATACAATATATGGGACTAAATAGGAAAGGCATTTTATTGGAATCAATAATTTAATTACTATTTATGAACAGGGAATTACAAATGCGTAACAATGTAGTAATGAGTATATTATGTAATTTTTGTTGTACTATTTAATATTGAATTTAATAAAAACCATGACTATAATTCAATAATGTTCTTACCTATTGAACACAAAATAATAATTATTTATAATTTATCGATATTGATTGTTGTTAATAATATAATCATAGTTTATGTGGTAATAGTTCACTGGAAAATACATAAACGGAATGTTTAATGTATGTAGGCACAAGGATGAAACATCACATACCATACCAGTTGTGCAACCCATCAACCTGATCTCCTATCAAACACCAACATTGTCAAATTCCTAGAGGGAATCAACTTATATAACCTAATTTAAGACTAAATTAATAATATACGAGTATATTAAGAACTAATGGCCTAGTAGCCGATATTTTTTATTAAATAATAAAAACAAAAAATATGTGTTAAAACATTTTTATTTAAGAAAACTACTCTTTTTTACATAAACGATTTTTTTCGGCCGTACAATACACAAAAATATTTTAATTTCCTTTTCTGTTCATATTGTATACCCAATCCGTCGGCGCAATATGGTAGTATATAGAACTGTTTTGCACAAAGTTAAGATTAGAAGACAAACAATGAAACGTTCCATTTCATATAAATTAAAACAACTGAGATTTACTAAAGTTTTATGCCGAAGGCATAAAATCTTGTAATTTTGAATGAGTCTCGGCAAAAAATTATGACGTACCTACTTCAACTAAATTGCATTTAGTATAAGAATGACAGAATATTTATTTTACGGATGATTATTTACATAATATTTGCAAATCACAGTGCATAATTTACTATCATTATAATTATTATTTAATTTTTGTTTAAGTACTTTTTTTACGTGTTGTATGTTAAATCTGATATTATAAATAATTAATTTTTTTCGAGAACAATAAAATAATAATTTGAGTTTTATAATCTATTTAATATTATATACATTTATTCAAACATTTGGTGTACGGTTTTTATTTTGAAAACATTTGAACACATTGCTTTAGTAAAAGTGTTACATTTATAGACATTAATAACTTTATAAAAAAAAAATAACTAACAGTGAGATATGGTTTAAAATATTCTATAACTATGTATGTTTTTCGAAAAACTTCAACCAACATTTCTATTTTCTATGTACCACACGGGTAGCCCCCCAATCCATTCCCTTTACATCCAATACCAATCCTTCCTAGCAATGTATAACTAAGACTCTTTTCGGGACGTTTTCAGTAAACGGAGTTAAGTCTTAAATTATCCTCGCATTTGTGCTGAAATAATGTTTCATGTAGTTGAATCTATGGTGATAAATGAAAAATATACATTGGCAACAGAGCAAGGGTATTTTTGTTGGTGAATTCCTTAAATTCTTGTAGGCCAAAGAGAAGTCTTCACGTTCCAAGTACAGCGAGGTTCTTATAACTTGTAGAATTGATAAACTAACAACTAGGTACGTTGATTATGCGATTAAACATTTTCAATATAAAATTACTTTTATTAATTATTTTCCTGAAAGTCTAATAAAATATATTTTATACTCATGATATATTATAACTTAAAATATTTTTATAAAATTGAAGGTACCTCCTTACAATTATATATTTATATAAACATATTTTAGTTATAATAAATATCTCAATAAAATTCAATAATAACTTCATATTGTAGTATATAATTTAACTAGAACATATTTTTATCATTTTAACTACTTATATTTTTAAGATAATATGAACTCCTAAAACATTATCAATATCACCTTTTGTAAGAAATAAATTGTAATAAATTCAGCTCAAAATATACTTACCAATTTTAACCACATGTTGGTAATCAACAGCTGATTTTTTTCATCCTGAAACAAATAGTTACGTGCGTGTTAGTACAAAACATTGTTCAAAGTATCGTGTTATGATAAGTTTTAAGCACGTAAATTTTGAGGAGTTATTTAAATAAAGAGACGTCGATTCATTTATGCGTTGGCATTGCGTTACACAAATTTTCTGTCAATACGAAATAATTCAACTGTGCGAAAATGTATTTATGTATACCTACCTATAGATATAAATATTATGTTTTCTAACCCCTTTTTAAAAGAGGTCGATAAATTTACATTCAGAATGCTAGGTAACCGGGGTAACTGACGTTTACACTCTGAGGACGAATACATAAATTTTAAACAGTTCTCCTTTTTCTGGTGGAAACACGGTGGTGACGGACAGAAAAAAAAATATAAATACCTTAGGAATGTTTTATTAAACTGTCCTCGTGTCCCCTTTGCTCTTTTGGATACATTCAGTGAAATAAGTATCTACCTAACTCATTCTTAAAATACTAGTTTTTCCCCTTATTTAAAATTTAACATAGGTAATATATTGCAAAGCCAGTTGGGTAAAAATCTTGAATTATTTTCTGTACTTGAGCTAGGATAAAATATTCGTGACCAAAATATAAAATGTTTGGCATTAGCCAAATGAATTTGAGACTTCTTTGATAATCTTTGCGGCATGTAGTTGTAATGAAGTTGAAACTGCGGTAACTCTACGTCAGGGACACAACACATTTACTTTTGATATTTGACAGAAACTATTTTTATGGAATATCTATATCTAAATCGCCAGAATAAACTATAAAACATGCATTCATTTATTTATGCAAACGAGGAATCCATTTGTAAGCCGAATTAAACTTTATAATGTATTTGTGTTTGAGAAATAGAGTTCATTTGAAAATCTAATATTAAAATTGAGATGAATGATTATATTAAATATTCTGATATTTGTCAGATTTAATTTTGGAATTTTAATTGTACATTTTAGTTCATTGTTACTAATGGTTTAAAATAACTTCGTAAAATTACTGAAATTTTGTTTGAAAATAATGATTTTTTCAAAAATTTGTTACCATGTATAATATTGTTCAATATAGTCTGCATTTTTATATTACAAAAAAAAAAACCATAAATTTAATATTATATTTTTAAAGTAAAATAATACATTTTGAACATAGTTAATAAGTATTGTTTAAATATATTATGATGTAATTATTATTTACATACTATAGGTAGGTACCTACAACTAAAAATGTACTTTTATTTCAAATAAGTAAGGTACCTAATTGGATACTTTAATATTAAATCAAATTAATGAAATATTCTTTGAACTTGATAATTTTCGTTATAAAAATCGTATTATGAATTACTATGACGAGTACCAAGAAGAATCTTATCTAAATCTGCTTAGGAATTTGACAATAAATATGCATTTTAAATATGTTGTTATGTATTAAATTCAATAAAAATACAATAATATTGTATGCACCTTCAAGACCTTAATCTATTATTTTACAGCTGTACAAAGTATTTTGGTCATAAAAATAAAAAGTTTGAAAAAAAACTTGCTTGGGTACTTTTCGAACATTAAACTTCACTCGGCCCACCCTGCACAAATTATACGCTTTGTCCACGCCTTTGAGCTAGAATTTTTTAGCGGACTATGTGAACTGGGTAAAACATTTTTAACGGGTTTTTACCAAACCAAACAACAAAAACAGCGATGACTACAAAAAAGCACATTATAATAAAGTCAGATGACTTGCACGTACAAAAGTAAAAAAAAGAATTCAAAACTAGCTGCAAGAAAATAAAATTATCTATTGCTTTGAATGTAAGCCAAATGGGACATCGACATTTTTTAATACTATTCGAGTTATCATTTTTAGAATCCATGATAGGTTACTTATCGCAACTATACGCATACTTATAGCAACCACAATTAAACGATATTTATACATATTTAAATATTATGTAATCTAATGATAAATAAATTATATATTTATAACGAGGTACCATGAAAATGAGGTATAGTATTTATTTTTTTATGGCGTTTAGTGGTTATATCGTAAATGGTTCAATTTTTTTTAAAAATAATTTTGTGTTCGGTGTGTTTATCTATTTGTACGCATTTATTCGCTTTGGTTTTTTTATTGATTGTTCAGAAAATACGAGTTCATTTTATACTAATTATTATAAATAAAATCCCATGCTGTAAATACATTTTGATATTTTGTTTTTGTATTCGATTTTTAAACCATCAGTTGTATCGTGTGACCTTTTCATTTTTTTTTTTAGAACACAATTTTTAATTCATATTAAACTTCATTTATTTGCAGTACAATAAATATCAAATATAATAAACATATTATAACACAAGTATACTAAATGAAAATGCATTTGAATTATTTAATTCAAATCTATTTATTGCGGTTTATTATATTAAATATTAAAATATAATAAACTAAACAAAATAACTCACCACATCTATGATTTGCATGAGCATAAGGCCGAAACTAAGTTGTAGTGGCTCCGATTCATTAGCTACTGGCCTCTCTAGTGTGTTGTAAGGGTCTAATAAATCGTTGAGCAATCGCTTCTCGTGAGGTCCGCATAGCGTTTCTGTAAAATAAAAATATGGACCAATATTAATTCATGCTGTGTGTGTACGCAATATGAGTGGGTTAATGATATAAACATTATTATGTATAGTTACAGGGAAGATAATTTTTGCGCTTTAGCTACAAGACATGATAAGGTACTAAGTGGGTAAGCCCTTTCCACTGTGGATCATCATATAAGCTCGTTCAACGTTTCATACAGCAGAATCGTGGAAGAAATAACACGTAATAATATTGTATAATACAATACCTATTGAAATTAACAACGCATTTTAGTTGTATACACTCACACACTCCCAAAAACATCCACACTACCCTGTTATGGATTCAGCTTTATACAAAAATATAATCAACACTTTTTATAAGAAATAATTACTTCTTAGTGCAACTTTATTAGACACCTCCGAGTTTTATTTTTTGGTTTTGAGGTCATACAAATTTGATTTTGATACTGTGGCACTGGTTGCTACTTTTACGAATTGAAGTTAGATGTAAATATGTATATCTTTAAAACATTTTTAAATGCCTCCTGAAAAACCGTATCAATTGAAAAATATGTTTGGCTATTGCTCCCAGGTCTTCAATTGCGTACCACAATGAGAAGGCTCTCGTGAGCTCACCCGTTCGAAATAGTTTTTCGAAGATATATATTATGCTCCAAAACGTCAACGAGGGCGCATTTTGTCGGAGGTCATCATGTGCACGAAATGGTAGTGGCGGCGTGGTGGTGGAGTTAAATTCCGTTTAATGTATTAATAATAATTATTAATTAATAGCTTAGGATTGTTGTGGTACCATGACAATACACTTTGAACATTCCTAATTTGTCCACAGCATCCGAATCGACGGTCCAGGCTATAAATTCACGCCACAGACAACGTCATTAAACGGATAATAATATGACATTCAGAACTATCTAATTTTGGCCTTTATATTATAGAATTATAATAGATCTGCAATACTTTGTTTACGCACAACATGATAATATTATACCACCAAACCGTATACATGGTTGATAAACGAGTATGCCGTTATCTGCCGCCACCACGTTTGGTGGGTGGGTTTGGAAGTATTTCTGCATTCCCCAATAATATACAGAATCCAATGGTAATAGTAAATAGCATCATGGATATAATGTTATGTATACTGTAACATATATTATGGAAGTTATAATTTATATTATTTGGTGTCAATCATATTATAATATTAACATTGTTATTGTTATACAGCTGTCGCGGGATATCATTGTTTTCTTATACATGTATGTTTTGATGTCGAGTGTATTATTATTTATAATAATATCCGAACGAACGTTATAAGAACAAAAATCGTCAAAATATTGTAAGTACCAAAACTCGTTTAGCCATATTAAAAATCAAAATGATGATGATTATTATTAATTGATGTCGTTTCAAAATAAATACAGTATCTATTGTTTTTATATCATTAAAAATTGTTGTAAGCCGTCCGTCGTAAAAAATAAAAATAAACTACAAATATTTACATAGTATGCCCAATTAAATTATATACGATTCAACAAAAACAAAAACTTTATGTTACCTACTAAAATATCTGACGATCGCATTGTTCCATTACTTTACGAGCCCTAATAAAAAGGTTTTTAAAAATAAGGGTACACTGAAAACAAAAAAAACTTAACAAAATCAATGTTTATTTTATTTTAAACTGAATGGATTCCACTTCTATTTTGCTAATTGACATTAACAATTCAATAAATTAGTAATGTAATTAATATATTATATTAGTTCAAAACTATATTATTGATAGATTTTGTTGATGAATAGCCAAGAATTTGTCACTTTTTATTAATTACATCAATAATTTTTAAGGTAATGTGATCAATTTTATTCACTGAAATAATAATTAATAAAATATATTAACATTTCAGATGGTTTTAATATGTTTAGGAATACTTGTCGATTTTTGGGATGCCATAAATAGGGTACCTACATTTCGATAATATATATATTATATTATTCAGTTATAAAAAACTAATAATAAAAAGTCAACTTTGAATGGAATTCTGAACGTGATCTTTATAAATAACTATTACTATTATTTTTTGTTTTTGTTTTGCATAAATTCAGCATCTAGTCACATACTTAGTAATTATCCAATATGGTACAATATAAATCGATTTGAAAAGTTTTCTACAAACTTTTTGCACGTTCGGTATTATATCTAATTTTCTATCAAAACTATCTTCGTTGAGAGATAAAACGAAAGAAAAAAAAAATCATTGGAAGAAAAACGAATGGTTTGTTCCGGATAAAATACGAATGGTCGCTCGTGTATGTCCTTGTACGTAGTTCTGTTGATATGTAGTTTGGAAAGTAAAAACTTATTAATAAAGTATTATAGTGTCAATAAATTACTAAAGGTCGTGAGTCAAAGAAAAGAAAAAAAAAAAAAACAAAAACAATTTTTCTATCAGAGAGAAAAAAAAGTAGAAATAATAATATGTGAAAATAAATCTGAACTAAAAGCAACGAAAATTACCTGTGACGATAATCGAGCTGAAAGAGGCCGTATAACAGTCGGCGCGGGACGGAACAAAAGTGAAATCTTATTTTCGTTTTTAGAGATTGTTATTTGACACATAATATTATAAAAACTGTTCGTCCACGAATCGATGTCTCCATTATACAGAGTGAATCATCTAGCATACTCTCCCCATACAAAACTGAGGTGAGCCATTTTTTTCATTTAATAATTTGGCAGTAATTATTACGTTCTTTGAGTAGAATATTCATAACGATTCCGAAAATCAGAATTTGAACAAATTCATTATTGAGGAAAAAATGTAGGAGTTGAGCGTGTTTGTCGAATCACCCTGTATAATACATCTCGCATGAGATAAGTTCTTTTCTCAGACGTACCATTGCTGTGCAGTGCACCAAGTTTGAAAAGCCTGTGACGATATAGGTATACAATAGATGTCCTGTCGACGATGTCTGAAATGAAAACGTCAAAGTCCAACTACTACAATTATTATTACCCCGGACCATATACGGTTTGGGGGGCGAGGTGGATGGTTTCTCGACCTGACTAGGTCGATTGGCGACGCAGTATCTGGCCGACTCCAGCTCTTCGACAAACCACTATATTTACTATAAGTATATAGATAAGAACTGCAAAACAGGGCCGTAGCTATACCGTTGTGACGGGGGGAGGGGGGGGCTGCCGACCTACCCTCGATAGCGTCCAATTCGAACGTGATCGAAATGATAACGAAAACGCGCCGTGTTTGTTATTGCTACTACTTTTGGGACTTTATTAGTTTTTGCTTTCTCGGGGATTCGAATATCGCGGTATAGTGAGAGGAGCAACTTGCCGTACCACACGCTGTACCGAACTATAAGAGTGTTATTTGTACGAGACAAAAAAATATAATATAATATTAACATGTCGATATCACTATATAATATTTTTATTATGTATATGCTATATTATTACAGAGAATCGTCTAAAAATAATAATAACAGTAATAAATATTTTATTTACGATGTTATATTATAGGTACCCATAAAATACCAAGTGTCCCACCGGGTGTGTGTCCTCTTGCATATCCTGCTCTCGTTTCTTCGCCGTCTTACTCATATTAAAAACAACTCATCCACCCTCTAACTCCTGTTTAAACTTTGAGACTTACATTATTTTAATATTTAATGAAAAATAATAATTCAACTTTAAAAACGTTTTCAAAAATTTATGTTTTATTAATTGGTTATCTCTGGGAAAAAAATTAAGAACCAAAAACAACTTTTTAATTTTTTTATTTTTAAGATCACTTCAATCAAAAAATACTTTCCACCATAGTCATAGTGGCTTGTGGCTGTTAAATATAAAATTAGTTTTCAAAAATTATATTTTCAAATATTAATAAATTTACGGTACAACATTATTTAGACGCATGGGCGGATAGGCCATTTTTGGCCTACCAGGCAATTTTAAAAAGGGGCCCCACATAAAAAAAAGTTGCTCGCAAGTACAGTATTAGATTAATTATGTTACCTACAATATCAAAACAAAACATTGGACGTGTATGATTTGTCTGTTATATTTGGCAATATTAACATCTAGAAAATCTATAAAATATATTATAACAACATCTATATTCCATTATCAATTGACAATTAAGTACATCTAATTATAAAAGTTGAGTGTTTAATTTAGGCTTTTACACTTTAAATAATGTTGAAAATTATAAATGTAATAGACACATTAAGAAACACAATTTGTATTTCAAAAATATTAGAAAATTTATTTGACAACCCCTACTTATTTTATACTGCTGATTGCTATTAAGTGTAAAAATTATACTAAGATACCTATAAAATATAGTTTCTTTTAGTTAATATTCTACATGAATACATGATTATATTACAATTATCGTAATAATTAATAAGCACCTATATTATATACTTAGTGATGGGCCGCAACTAATATAAACTAACGAATAATTATTCGATACCTAGTTTTTCCAAATAAGTTATTCGAATAATCGTTACGACAAATATTTGAATTATTATTCGAATATGTTTTCAAAAGCAAATTTGATCTAGTAAGTACTTTTGGTAGGTCAACATTAAAAATCCTCCAGTACTTTTAAAATAATTGGGAAAAAAAAGAAAATTTGTCAAAATTGTTTGGTAACCTTTCACTTCAATTGTATTTGATTAGTTTGAGTTTTTTTCCTACAAATATCAATAAAAAATTATTTGTCCGGTTAAAAAGATAAAAATGTAATAGGTATATACTATATAAGTTTTTATTATAGCTAAAATATTAACGATACATATAGGAATGATTATTGTTTATAAGCATTTAAAGTTCAAATGTTGACAAAACCACAGTGTTAATTAATAATTTGTAGTTCAAAACTTAAAAAATATAAGATTATAATATAAAATAATAAAATTTTTCAAATTTGAAATTTCTTTTGTAATTATATAATATTAATGTGTCATTGCGTTAACC